CATCGGGCTCCCTGCTCCGCGGGAAGCCTGCTTCTCCCTCTCCCACTCCCCCTGCTTGTGTTCCCTCTCTCGCTGTCTCTCTCTGTCAAATAAATAATCTTTTAAAAAAAAAGTTCTCTTTGTAGAACTCCAAAGAATTATCATTCATCTATTTCCATCTGCTAACAGCAAGAAAGCAAAAGGTTAGAGGAAACCCTCTTGACCCAGCTGTTCACAGCAGACAATTTACAAGTACAACAGAGAGAGGGTAACACAGAGAGGTGATAGCTTGACCTGATGAACAGCAACAAAAAAAAATCCAGTTTCTGTAAAGATGAGGAGGTTTGGAGTGGGGTGGGGAAATATGATGACAAGAAAAGGAAAATTAATGAAATACAAGGAAAAGATGGTATTTTCTTATGCAGTGCTGTTCATTTCCCTTATTAAATAAAGAAGTAAACTGAAATGGGCTTGAAATATTTCAGGACACGGATTTGGGGCAGGGTTAGCCAACTGCCCTGTCTAAACGCTGGAACAGGTGGACAAAGCGTTCAGCCTCCCAAGATGCCTCTCTTGGGTGAATCTTACCTCTTCGTCCAAAGAAATGCCCTGGGCACAGATGCCCAGGAGTGAGGTAGAAGGTTAGCAGGGCATGGGGCATGGCAGTGCCAAGTCTTCTGTGAAAGTATAAGAAGTCAGACGGGACACAGACCACAACACATAGAAATACTAACTTTATTCCTGCAGAGAAACTAACAACTGGAAAGAAGAGGCCATCAATGTTGAAATTCTCAAACATTCCTTGAACAGGTTGTCCGTTAATTCGGAACGAGATGCTCGGGGCACTCAGATCTAGACAGCAACTGATGACGTCATCAGTTCTCAGCAGATGCTGGTTTGGTGAGCTTACAGTACGAGCAATACAGCCTATAGAGGAAAAACAGTAAGGACGGTGATTTTTTTTCCCCTCACAGAATCATCTTCAGAGGCAAAGATCTGACTAGGTACTGACAAATCAATGCACAATACTGGAAGAGAATAAATCTTGAATGAATACTAATGCTATATGTTAAATCCTTTGTCCAAAAACTTTTTTTTTTTTTATTTTCAGAAGCCATGCTTCTCTCTTTATTGTAAAATGGACCTTCTGACATGCAGAGGAACTTCTGCTTGGAGAAGGATGGCATCTGATGCACAAATCAGCTGAAGCTGATAATATAATGATGTCAGAGAGAAATCTTGAGGGAGAGACTTGAGTTCCAACAGATGCTTTACCACCTACTACTTGGATGACCATCAGCAAATTACATAACTTCTCTAAACCTTGATTTCTTGGAAGCCAAATGCCATTACCTTGCAGAGTCGTTATGATGATTAAATTAATGGTTTAAAAGAACACAGAGTCTTGGACACAGCAGGGCTTGCACGTCAGGACCCTTTCCAAATATACAGTCCCCTTTGTTTTATAAAATAAAAATAATAGGGATAAGGAAAGCAGAAAATGTGTTCATTAGTGCATTGTTTGCTAAGAGGCAAATGCATGCCAACTGGTTTGCTTTACAGCTTATTTCACACAAGATCTTGGTTGGCTTCCTGAGAACAGCAGGATACGAGTTGAGGTGTGACAAGGATTATTTGATAAATGTCATTTCTTGCCCCGGCCAACCTGTGGCCTACGCTCATTCTTGACTATGTCAAAACTCCTTTGCTAATTAGTCTCTGTGGACATACTGGAAGACATGAAGGCAAGGCTCTCTCAAACACATGCTCACAAATGCATACAAACTTTCTCAATTTGAGCAAAGACCAAGATAGATTTCACGATACAAGATTTGCATTTTTGTAAGACCTTTTTAAAATTTCTAGCATGCCAAAATTTTTACCAACAGCATATCTGAAATGCCAGTGGTAGAGCATATCTACTTTTTAAAATGTGTCAATTTTATCTTATCAATATTCAAATCTGCAAGCAATAAATTCATTATCAAGTAGTACTTCTAAAATTCCCTGAATAAAGATGGCTTTTTAAAAAAATCATATAAAAGCAATGCAACTCACATAAAAAGGTCTATACCCTTGTTTGTATCAAGAACTATAGCTAATAAAAATGTTATTATACAGATATGTATATACTCCAAATATATTGCTCAGTCTGAGGGATATTATTATGCTAATGCTAAGGACTAAAAACCACCATGGCAAACTCTCTTGTGATGGCTGAAACAAACAGGTAAGACAGACAGGCTCACTAGTGAACAACCTCAGGTTCACAATTTCAGTGGTATGTGCACACCGCTGAATCCAATTAGAAGCATTTTCAGGTCACATTTATGCAAACCTATCACATCCAGATGACAACTACATTCCTGTTCTCTGTACTAGCCATAAAGGAAGACAGCAGCAGTGTGATTTATCACTCCTGGATTAGAAACCTATACCCATCTTTCTCTCTTACTGTTCTAGGACATTCCTCCACACTTCTATATTTAAATGCTCTCAAAGCACCAAGATTTTTCACACTTTTGGCCCTCCCTTACAAACACTTGGAACTTGGATGTCCAAAATCGAGTTCTGCATTCGCAGAGAGGACAATGTAGCAACACTGTGCAAAGTTTAAATTGGAAAGAGTAAGTGAAGACAAAGCTCAAAACTTGTGCTTGTGAACCCAGTTCTTGTTCCAAAAAACATCACCACCCTTAAATTATAGCAGGTTAAATGATAAAGAATGTGCTTTATACCAGAAATCACAGATTTAAATTCTACTTTAACTATTAAAAAGAAAAAGAACAGAAGAGTGACCCCCAAGAAAATTATCTGAATTACTATGACTCTGACCGTGGTAAATCAGTCAGAAGCCAATTGATTTAGCTTTGTCTTTGTTGACTACGAATCTAAAACTAGGAAAGCATTTAATATGGCCAATGTCAGAGAAATTACTGCCTGTGTCCTCTTCCAGTATTTTTATGGTTTCAGGTCTCAAATTTAGGTGTCTCATCCATTCTGAATTTTGTGTATGGTAAAAGAAAGTGGTCCAGTTTCATTCTTTTCCATGTTGCTGTCCAATTTTCCCAACACTATCTGTTGAAGAGACTTTTTCCCATCGAATATTCTTTCCTGCTTTGTCAAAGATTAATCAGCCATATAATTGTGGATTTTTTTTTATTCCATTCTATTGATCGATGTGTCTATTTTTGTGCCAGCACCATACTGTCTTGATTACTACAGCTTTGTAATAGAGCTTGAAGTTAGGAATTGTGACACTTCCAGCTTTGCTTTTCTTCAAAATTGTTTTTGGCAATTTGGGGTCTTTTCTGGTTTCATATAAATTTTAGTATTTTTTCATTCTAGTGCTATTGTCATTTGCTAGGGATTGTATTAAATATGTAGCTTGTTTTGTGTAGTATAGACATTTTAACAATATTTGCTCTTCTAATCCATGAACATGGAATGTCTTTCCATTTTTTTGTGTCATCTTCAGTCTTTCATCAGTGTTTTATAGTTTTCAGAGTACAGGTCTTTCACCTCTTTGGTTAGGTTTACTCCTAAGTATGTTATGGTTTTGGTGTAAAAGGGGATTGTTTTCTTATTCTTTCTGCTGCTTCATTACTGGTGTATAGAAATGCAACAGATTTCTGCACACTGATTTTGTGTCCTGCTACTTTACTGAATTCCTGTATCAGTTCTGGCAGTTTTTTGGTGGAGTCTCTCAGGTTTTCTATATATAGTATCACATCAACTGCAAATAGTGAAAGTTTTACTTCTTTCTTACCAAAAAATGTGGATGCCACTTATTTCTTTTTGTTGTCTGACTGATAGACCCCAGTAGCTTGAGAGACCATACCTTCAACTACAGGCAAGACACAGTACATACTTTCTTGCCATTAAAAAAAATATATATATATAGTTGAATATTTTCTCCTGATATAAAGTTTCAAATGATTTTCTCCTGAATTCCACAACATATCCTTCTTTCTGAGATATAGTCATAGATTCACTGAATATTTTTGTTGTTTTCATTATTATTTTATTTAACAGATACCTTGTAATAAAAAGTGTAATGCACACAGATCAACTCCATGAGTGTTGGGTTCTTTTAGTGAGTTGAAAGAAAAAGCTTCAAACTAAATGCAAAAATGAAAAAAAAGTGGCGTGGTACGGTTAAAATAATTAGAGGCAATTCAGCATTATTTTATCAGAGTACTCTTCCCCCTCATCTCTGTGTAATGGGAAAACAAGTTAACATGTGTCATTTATTCACCTGAGTAGCCACGGCATGTGGGGCCGTAGTAGGAGGTAAAGAGAAGAGAGAGTAAAATCTGAACGGTGAGAATTAATATGTATTATAAAAAGAGCCATTACCTCTACTTTACGTTTGTTGGGCTTTCTGATGTTAGTGCTCTTTGCCTTTGTTCAGTCAGTAGGAAAATTGTACTGTGGGAACAGGCTCTCTGACTCTGGTCTGGCCAGAACAGTACAGTGTGTATAAGACACGCCACCCTCCCACCTGGACCCCAGCTACATGTCCCCATGGCTAGATGAAAAATCCAAAATGGAGCCTCATCTCTTCCTGACTACTTAGCTACTAGCACTGAATAAAGGAAAAATTCGGTGAGTATTAATGACAAAATACAACATGAAGTGCTTTTATTTATAAACCCATTACTAAACTCTTAGATTTAATTCAATTTAACTTTTAAAACGTTCATGAGCTACCACACCTCTAAAGCATTAATATCTCTTGCACCCCCTAAGAGACAGATTTCAGCTTTTTATATGTAAAAATACATACATTTTCCATATTTTCTCTATGCTTAATATGTTACAAAATAATATGAGAACTGTATTCTAAAGCAGTTTTATGAGCACAAGTGTATGTCTGCAGAATCCAGATGAATTCCAGTTTCTACGAAACAGCTACATCAAGACTATGGACTCTGAGAAACAAACTGAGGGTTCTAGAGGGGAGAGGGGTGGGGGGATGGGTTAGCCCGGTGATGGGTATTAAAGAGGGCACGTACTGCATGGAGCACTGAGTGTTATACAAAAACAACAAAGCATGGATCATTACATCAAAAACTAATGATGTACTGTATGGTGACATAACATAATAAAATAAAATTAAAAAGAAAAAAAAGAACTAAGCTTTTAAATGGAGCCAACTAAAATGCACCTTCTATTACATTAGAGAAAAGGATATGATTTTTACATCCATCACTCATTCTTAATATATACTCAACTATCAAAGTTCAGGTTGATAGCTGGTGAAATGAACTACACACTTATTTTTAAACAGTTCCACATAAAGTGTCATCTGATAATAAACTGACACCTCGCAATACACATCACAAATGACCAATTCCCAACGTTACGTTATCTACCAGGAGATGGAACTTAATCTATTTCTTCCAATTATTTTCCAGGATCTGTTCTTTGGTGTTTATATTGGAAGCTAAAGCTTCACACACACCTGTTCAAGTAAGTAGGAAACACACAAATTTGGTGTTTTTTTGTTTTGGTTTTTTCTTTTTTTTTTTTTTGCGGTTTATTATGAATCAAAAATGCCACTTTTCGAACATACTGTTCATCAACAATACAGTCTTTTGGAAATGTACCATAATTGTAACAGTTTTGTTTTTCCCATAGTGAAATTCTGCTTTTTACTTAACATTCTCACTCATCGTTTCTATGGTAAATTTCTGAAGAATAAATGTATCTGAATATACGTAGCGCAGATAGATTTTGGAAACACGGAGAAAGGGCAACAGATTTCCTTCGCACACACAGGGGAAGATGCAGATGGTGCTGACCTGACCAGAGATGAAGGCCATCGAATCCGTAGGAAAAGAGATCGTCTCCAACTCCGTTTCCACCCCACTCCTCACCGCCTCCCGGGTAGGGAGAGTACCCTTCGGTGGAAGCCCAGCCCACCCGCAGGTGGGTGGCTTCAGCGGTCACGAACGGCTCCGTGTGGTCCACCATCAGCTCATAGTACCACTTCTTATACTGAGCCGACCCTTCGCTGACGCCCAGAAAAATATTGGGTCTCATGCTTTAAAGAGATAGGAAGAGCACATGAGAAACTCAGGACAAACCTCCTGTTGTGTTCATTTATGTCTATTTCAAACATCGGTCCTGTTTCTCCAAAATGCAACATATTAAATCTCTGTTTTCCTTCAGTACTGCAAAATTACTAAGTCACTGAGGCGGTAGGCGGTGACAGCCAGCCTACAGTTAACATTCAGTGGCAGGTGTCTGCTTTTCCGATTACTTGGCAATGTCCCTCAGGGACCTAAGATGATTTTTTTCTGAATTGCTTTTCAGCATATTTTATACCATTGATCATGTTTAAGGTGAGATACTCAGTATAACGGGCCCTTAGAATTCATGGAGTTATCATTAATTCAGGACATGCAGACATTTTCCTAACTAAGCTGTGGGCCAGGTAAGGTACAAGGCTGAAGAGCCATGTTATCAGTAAAGGAAGCAGAGTGATAAACAGCTTTGTTGTTCTCAATGCCTCTCTGAGGGCAGAAGAATTTCTAGGTAGTTGTATTTAATTTCTAAGGGACTTAGACCCTATGTTAATGCTTAGGATTAGTGAAGGTCTCAGGAAATACCACTCAAAAACAGCACGTCTGTTATACAAAGAGCCATTCAGGAAGTCTTAAATCAATCTGGTTAAAAAAACACAATATAGAAATATACCCCAAATCCTACACTTTTGTTTAAAACAGGGTAAGGAAGTGATTACTTCCTGGATAGCTGCAAGATATAATATATTCAAAATTATTACTATCACACAGAATATTTTAATTATAAGCTGTATTATTTTTATTATACTACTTGGTATAAGGAAAGCAGCATGGCTTGGTATTTAAGGGCCCAGTCTCTGGCATTAGACTTGAGTTCCTTTTCCAGTCCAATATTTTAATCTTTAAAATGTGTATAATAGGGCGCCCGGGTGGCTCAGTCAGTTAAGCGGCTGCCTTCGGCTCAGGTCATGATCCCAGGGTCCTGGGATCGAGCCCCACATCGGGCTCCCTGCTCCACAGGGAGCCTGCTTCTCCCTCTCCCACCCTGCTGCTTGTGTTCCCTCTCTCGCTGTCTCTGTCAAATAAATAAAATCTTGAAAATAAAATAAAATAAAATGTGTATAATAGTACCTAGTTGGACTAGTCGAACCCAGTGCAAACACAGTGTAGCATACATGGAAAGCACAGAGAATAGCGGCGGGGCACACAGTACTCAAGGAATGTCTGATACCTTGGAAGGGCTATCTAACCAAAAATGTAGTTTTATTGTTTTATGGAATTTCTTATATCTCAGACATTCTGATTCAACTTTTTTATTACACATAGTAGCCGCTTTGAAGTTGGCATTGAAGGGTAGCATTTTTACTTATATTCTAGGAAAGCACAAAACATAATTATATATAACTGTATCCCTGTAGAATTGTCAGCCTGTTCCTGAAGAGGTCAGTGATAAGCCAACCTCATACGAATGTGACTATGAAAGCTTACAGCCTTGTGATAAAAGCACATTCTGCTTGGTTCACCTACTGTTATTATTATCCCATCCAACTTATACAAAAACTACACTATTCACTGGGGTAATATGTAAAATATCCTAATAAAACAAGCGGACCACAGGATGCCTTAACTACAGAGCCAGAACATGAATTCCTTGTTACACCACCTATTTGGTGACAGTGTCTATCTGAGTCTACCTGCTGACATGGTTCACAAGACGTGTCTGTAATAGTAGGTCTCTTCCTGGCAGCAGGTTGTCACAGATGAGATGCTGGTTAGAACGGACTGCGACTCCATGGCAGACACAGAGAGAGCATAAGACGTCGAGAACCTGAAGAGAGAAAGCAGTTCCAGCCGACTAATTCCCTTATTCAGATTTGAGTAACCCCACACTTGTGAATGTGAACACCTTCCCTCGGACCCAGCCATGTGAACGTGACAGCCACGAGGTCACGTATCTTCCAAGTTTCTCTTACACACAAACTGATAATTTCTCAGTGTCTCAAGGGTGCTACAAATAAGCACCAAACATTACCTGACTGTAATTAAGAAATGAGAAACACTCATGACACATTTGACACACCTTTTAAAAGTTATCTTATTTTAAAAATATATTTAAAAATTATCCCAGAATTCATCCATGGCAATACATTCGTTCCCTTACCTTATGGTTTCTTCCATGCTTGTCTAAAAGTGAGATTATGGATTTAATGTGTCCTTCCTTAATAATATTTAGAGCTTCTGGACTTTCTACTAGCACACAGTGTAAAACTTCAAGAATACCTAAAGATAAAGAAAATATGATTAGAGAGTCTACAATGATCAGTGTCTTTCCTTTTTTTTCTAGGTGTTCCTTCAGGTCAACACGTAATTATGGGCTCGATGTGTTTGTCACAGGGCACTGTAAAGGGGGACAAGTGATGTTTGTGATGGGAGGAAAAGGCAATGTTAGCAGAGTAAGCAGGTAACTCTGCCTGGGAAGGTATGAAAGAAAGCAACCCTAACTCGAGACTCAGAGAACACATTCATGATCATTTTCCAGACAGCCAAGTTAGGGAGGTAGGAGGCTGAGTGAAGTCTTGAATGGAATGCATACCCGTGGTGCCTTGAGTACAGAGCAAGTAGGGGACAAGACAGGTAGGTAGTAGGTTAGGACCAGCTTATGAAGTTTCTCAGTTTGAAAGTATAACCCTACAACAATGCACCCTAACCCACAAAGAACATTACATTCTCCCAGAGGTAAATGGTATAAAATGTTTCTTAGTTTCCAAAACAAGAGAAATACAGAGAATAATACAAAAATATATAGAAATATACAACCTAGAAAACCTGATGAGGAATGGGGGTATTTTTTTCCCAAGATTTTATTTACTTATTTGAGAGAGTGTGCATGCTCACGCGCACAAGCAAAAGCAGGCTCCCCGCGGAGCAGGGAGCCCAGTGCGGGACTCGATCCCAGGATCCTGGGATCATGACCTGAGCTGAAGCAGACGCTTAACGAACTGAGCCACACAGGCACCCCAAGAATGGGGGTATTTTAAAGTATTAGCCATCAGAGAAGATAAAATGAAATATACCCTTTCTTATCTTAAAGCTTGAGAGAATAGAAAATAATTTTCATCAGAATTTTTAGTGTGAACTTGGAAAGTTGAATGTGTACATATGTATTCATTGTTTCTGAGAAAGCTTGCTTTGTCTATTGAGAGCGCAGACCACTGGTAGCAATTAGATATAACGTTCAGAAAATGTGATCTCTGAGAGCTACAAAGTATCAGGAGGGAAATCCGCAGAAAGGTTTATACATCTCCAACGGAGTTCACGTTCTTGGAAAAGTGCTCAGGTGTACAAATGGCCAGAATACATAAGTAATGGCACACTATGGTTGCCACAATCAATACTTGATCCAAATCCCAATCCATGATAGAACAGGGGCTATTAATGCTAATTTCTTTACCGATGACTTAATTTCGTGAAGTATGAATGTATAGTCGTTTAAAAAAATACCCACAACAATGAGTCAATTTTTGGTGTAGTTCGAAATTAACTGCTGTGTTCCAACAACCCATGCTGATTAAAAATCCAAGATAGAAAAAAATACAACAGGCTAATGGATAAAGATGTTTATATAAGGGTACTTAAACCGAATGCTTCTGCTATTAAAGATGGAGAAATAAACGCGTTCATTCTTAGCTAAAATAAACTAAAATAATACAAAAGAAAAAGCATTTTTAATAGATTGCTCATATTTTATCCCAATGTCTTTGTTTTGTCCCGGTTACCTATTAGTGCAGAACACAAATACGGCTGCCCGTATTTGCAAATGAAAATTATACTGTGTACCAGCCAATGCTCATTCGTTCCCATTTCATCTATGGTTGCTTTTGCATTAAAGAGGCAGAGCTGAGTGGCTGCAACAACACTCAGCCCTATGGTCTACAGAACATAAAACACTATCTGGCCTTTTCCAAAAAAATATTGCCAGTCTCTACTTACAGAGTTAATACAACCATTAAGACAAAAGACCAAGAAGTAGAAGACCACAAGAAAAACAAATCCTCTTTGTAAATAAATATACATGAAAACCAGTAACATTCAAAGACGTGAATATATCTGAAAAGATTTGACTAGATTGTGAAAATGAACAGCAGCTATCACCAAACACAAGAATGGCAATACGAAATATGAAAATAAATCTGATTTCCCCATATTCAGCTTACTTTAATAGAAGGCTTCCAGAGTTTGGGACTTCATATTCAAACATTTTTCTTTAATGCTGCTACATCAGATCCAACAAATAAACATTTAGTTGAAAAGCACTGACTGCCTCTAAGTCTGACAGTAAAAAGTCAGACAAAACTATTTTTACTTTCAACTGTTGGAATAAACAGCAAATAAACTTCTATTTTTGTGTGTGTGGTTAGAAATTCCTAAAAGAAAATAAATTGGAAATACCAGAAGACTCATTTTCCACAAAAATAAAGGCTGGCTAGACTGACTATATTATATGTATGTATAAATTATGCCAATATATGTCTCAAACTCTTCTGTGAAAAAAGAAACAGAGGAAGGCGGCTTACTAAATATTACAATGTCAGTATCTAACCCAAAGATGGTCTGGCAATTCTAAGCACACTGAATAAGACCCAGAGATGGAAACAGTGCATAACACTTATTGCCAGATTCTCAAGGAATAAATTGAGCTTGGTAGATCCTAACAGTATTACCAGAATGAATTATGAACATAAACTGTCAAACACAAACACACACACACACACTAGTAAGACAAAACAAGATTTTGTAATCTGTATAACCTGATTTTATGTTTTAATAAATTTACAGAAATGATTTTAGTGAAAATTTTAATAACATGCAGAACACATACGTATAATGTAAACTTTCCTGAGTAGACACACAATTGGATATACATTATGACTGCAACTATGTAAAATATATTATGTGTATAAAATGTGTATTTCACAAAACACCAGGAGTTAGTATACCAGAATATTGGTGCTGGTTATTGCTGGATTAGTATACCTCTCTTCCAATACTTGATGAATTCCAGGAAATGAGTATGCACTACTTTTACAGTAAGAAATATTTTTAGAAAGGACAACAAAATAGGAAGTTCTATTTCCATTTTTCTTTTTTCTTTTTTTAAGATTTATTTTAGGGAGAGAGAGAGTACAAGTGAGCTAGGGGAATGGCAGAGGGAGAGAGTGAGAGAATCCTGAAGCAGACTTTGTGCTGAGCATGGAGCCCAACACGGGGCTGGAGCCCAGGATCCTGAGATCATGACAAAGAGCCAGCCGCTCAACTGACTGCGCCACCCAGGCGCCCCAACTAAAGCACACATTTAATTGATGTCACCCCTTACTTGAAAGCTCCCATGGCTTCCCAGGACATCCAAGGTACAAGTTCATTCCCCAGAGCAAGGTACATCAGCTCCTTTGCTACATGACCCAACCCGACTACTTTACCACCTCAACTCCCACCAACTCCTCTGACAAAGAACAGTTAGTATATACTTTTACTTCAAAGTACATATTACAAATATAATTAGGTGCTAATGCATTTACAATACACTGATATATTTATTAAGCACCTACGGGCACTGTTCTAGGCAGTGGGGTCATCAGCGACCAAGGCCTGCCAGGGCCGAGTGGGAGCTTGTCGGCTCTGTCCCACCATCCATGTTTTGTACATGTTATTCTCAGACTGAAATACACTTCCCTCTTTGGAAGCTGCAAAATCTGAATCATCTTACAAAGGCAGAAAGTCACCTCATTTGGTGGGTTTTAACCAATACCCTAGAATGAATTATTCTTTCTTGGTAGTACTGATCACATTGTGTTAAAATCATGTATGCTCATTTCAATCTCCTATTAGAGAGTGAGTCTTTGAGAGCAGAGATGTGTTGAATTCTGCCTCCTTGTGACCCAGCACACTCGGGCCTACGGAGGCCCATCTCATGTTTGCCAACTGAGAAACTGAATGAATATAAATGGACTATTAGGACACACTTTCAGTTTAAACTACATAAACCTGTGATTTGTTTAGTCAATCATAACAAGATTCATTATTGTGAAGAGTATGTAGAATAGCTACTTTGGCATATTTTCTGTCTGGAAATTTTAACATTAAAATATTTTTTTAAAGGTAGAGAAGTCCTATGATAGAACACGGATGGAGAATTTATATTTCTTAGTTCCAGTATTTCCTCACTGAATGACAGGAATTTTTGTGGGCTTTAGTCTGTCTGTGGGGGTCATGCACAAAATTCAAAACTGATGGTGTAAGCCCTTTATACATGAGATACATGACATATTTAGCTCTTTGCCTTAAAACTTTTATGGCTGTAACTTTGTGAATTATTTATAGGACTCATGACAAAGAAAAATCTCTGAGGGTGTTTACAGAATGTCTGGAAGTAACCTAACGGTATTGAAGCATCCAAGCGCTGTGGTGGGGCATGCCCCGGGCTGTCCAAGGTTGAGGGTTTACAGGGAAAAACTGAAAGCAAGCCATAGAACAGAAGTGCTCTATTGGGTCTGACTTTATTAACAGAAAGAATCTAGCCTGGGGATTTTGCCCCATCCTCAGTAGACACAAGCTCACTGGTGAGTCTTGCATATTCGAGTGAAGTGAACAGAACCAGGCAGGGAGTCTCTCAGGCACAGATAGCCAGTGTGGAGACAGAACTCCCATTATCTCAGGAAAACCAATGGACTTGGAAGACAATGCCAACATCTCCTCTCCAGAAACTGTTTTCTCACCTACGGTTCCAAGTGTTTAGCAAAAATAAAACAAAATTAAAATAATCTCGGAACACCGAGGTTTAGATGGAATGTAGTTCTCACTGCAAGAGGGACACAGGGGTGTTATTCAGCCTTGGAAAAGGACCCCACTCCCACATCTCTGCTCTGAGTGTGGGTAATGATCCTGGACAATCCCTGATGCAGCACATGGCCTTAGTTGACAATTTCAACAGGGAAGCCTCTCAGTGTAATTGGCAAGCAAACAGAAGGCTTCAACCTGGGTGCTAATAGGTATGAATTAGACTGTCTCCCAGTGACAGAAACACTGGGGACTCAGTACAGATAACACAGAGAACTGCAATACCCACTTGCAGGGTCAGCAACAATCACAATTAGAGAAACTGTGAATTCCAAATTACTCAAATCACAGGTTGCGTTTCTACTTTTTCCCCTACCTAGCAGTTAAAATCCTTCTTAACCTTTTGGTCAGACCTCATTAGTCATATCCCCAGGGCTCACTGAAGG